CCATTTGTACTTCAATTTAATTTAATGCGGTGATAGCAATTAATATGCCCAATTTTTCCACTCATAATAAATGCCTATACAAAACTTGAACTGCCTTTTTTATATTAAAACATAACAAGTGTATTAAATAAATACTATCATTTATTTTGTGTTATCATAATATCATGTATATTGATTAGATATTGGTTTTTCCACATGCTTAAATATAATATTTTTAATATATTTAAAGCTTAACCCTTTATTTAATTTCCTCTGTTTCCGTCACTTCTCAATTGGTCCAAAAAAATATAGACTAAGATGAATAATTTAAATATTTATATTTCATGCTACATTTGTTATTAATACATCATAGAGGCCTCAACTCCATACATGAACTATGATACGGAAGATTAAAAAAGAAAAATAGGATAAAAGGGTGTCTTCTGTTGTAGGGTAGAAATTAGGGCGGGAAATTTACTAAAAACAGTTATAATTTTCGGGATCAAAGTCCTTTTATGAGATGGTGGGGGCAAAAAATATGAAGGGTCGGCAAGCTCCGATTAATGCTCATCAATGTGCGTGTTAGATAAGAGAGGGCGCGTTTCAAGTACAGCAGGGTTCACAAGCTCATCATTAATGCACAAAATGATCTCTTCAACGTCACCCTTGTTACTTTCCTTTGGATTAGGTGAAATCAGCAATGGAGGAACTGGTTTATTGTTACTTGTTGTTTGCGTGAGCACTCTGGCTCTATCCACTTGAACTTTCCAATCTCTTTTCCAGAGTACTACTAGCATGAGGGAAGCACACGATGCTTGAGCTGCAAGCAAACCGAGCCAGAGTCCGGCGAACCCCATTTTGATCACGAACCCCATTAGGATAGCTACCGGCATCCCCACCAGGTAGAATGAACCCAAGTTTATGTTGGCTCCGGTGGTCGGCCTGGCGCTACCCCTCAACACCCCACAACCGGTTGTCTGAGGGCAATTACCGAGCTCGCAGAGCCCCGCAATCGGTAATGCAATGGCAGTGAACTCGAGGATTTCCGTATCGTTTGTGAAAAGCTTGCCCCATTGGTGTCTCATCAAGTACGTGAACAACATCGCCGATAGGCCTATTGATACGGCACAAACGAGGGAGACGATCATGGAAATACGAGCTTTCCCGGGCCGGTTTGCACCGAGTTCATTCCCGACTCTTGTGGAAACTCCGACGCTTAAAGCCGAAGGGAAGCAATAGACTAGAGAGGTTGTTTGGATAAGGATCCCCATGGAAGCAATGGTAGCCTTGGGGTTAACAAGCAAACCACACATCAGTATCATGAACTCGTACCACCACCATTCGAGGCAAACCGAGGCACAAGTCGGCACAGCAAGAGCAAGCAGAGAAGACCATCCTTTAAGACAATCGATGCTGGGAGTCACCCAAGAATCTTATATACACCCGACAAGTAAACGAAGGAAGAGAGGAAAAGGAAGACGTTGAGATTAGTCCACACCATGGATATAGCCACCCCTGCTACACCAAGCTTGAAATGGAAAACAAGAAGGTAATTCAACGGCACGTGGAGAATCACTGAGATTGCCGAACAGTAAGTTACGGGCAACGTAATGCTTTGAGTCCTGAGGTAGATTCGAAGCGGGTGAAGAAGCGAGAGGAAGAAAAGGTCGGGAATGGAGAAAAGAATAAATGTATGAGCCACGGATGATATTTCTTGGTTTTGACCACACCTAAGAAGGATAGTTTTCACGTTCACCCACATGAAACAGATGGGGACAGAAGCTGAGAGGAGGAGAAGCACCGTTCTCTGCAGTGTTAATCCCAGGAGTTTCCATTGTTTGGCTCCATATGCTTGTCCACAAATGGGTTCCATTCCCATGGCTAAGCCAGATATTACAGAGTAGCCAGTTATGTTTGCAACACCTATAGCAAGAGAGCCACCAGCAAGCTCAAGTTCACCAAGATAACCAAGAAAGAGCATGGATATCATTGCTCTCGAATATAGAAGTAAACTACTGATGGCCGTCGGGCCGGAGATCTTCCCTATGGCTTTCATCTCTTCCAGAGCCTGAATACAAACAAAGCAAGCTAAATACTTCATTAGATGAAATAGTGATGGAAAAAAAAGTTACCCTTTTATATGATTTAAGCTGTTTTTATACCTCAGAGAGAGTAGGCAATCTATGAAGTTCATCATCATTACTGATGATGGGAAGATTCACAGTTTTGTTGAAACGGGTTTTTGTAGGAGGGAGAAAGGAGGATGTTGGAGAAGATGGCTTTGGGTTATACATAGCTAGTTAGCTTAGCTAGAAGTTAGCTTAGCTGCCTTTAAATTTATGGATAAAAGAAGTTATGGGAGAAAATGAGAAAGAAAGGAAAAAAGAAGGGAATGGATAAGTTCAAAATGAAACAGAATTGCAATGGTAAAGAACGTCGACGATCCTGTTTGTGCTTATTATGGGGTTTGGAGATGGAATGAATGTCGATATTTATACAGAGATGGTTGGGGCCTACGCTTTAGGTTCTCGGAAAGTGTCGATCTAACAATAAACCGAAGCCAATGCTGAAAAAAAAATACTTTGGAAGTTGGAAAGGGGGGCGCCCATCCTATCCTTTCTTTAGCTTTTCTGCTCTTTTTCTCTCTCTATCTCCTAGCTGAATGTGAATGTTAGTCACTTTTTGAATTCTCCTTATATGTTCAACAAGTGAGGCGGAGAGAATTCTTTGAGAGAAAGATAGCAAGATTTCAATGTCTCATCTTTTTGTTTATTATAATATGAAGGTTTGATTTTGTATGCCCTTTGCTGTCAATAGAAATTTGTTTGGGACCCTTTTTTGGTATTTTTTTTCTATTAACATGTATAATCTATTTGTATTTCTACAAGTTTACCTTGAATTTATCCAAAACTTGTTCCTCCAGTTGGAGAAATGGCAGAAGTATATTGGCTGAATAAATATTTTATATATTAGACAATGGATATATGGTACTAGATGTAATTTTGTAAGCAGATAAACTGTTTTTTGCATTTAACTTGTTCCTTTCTCGCACGTCCCATGTGATATAAACCCATACCAATTACCAGTGGAGAACCGAACATCGATCTCTCGAGACTAGTTGTTCAGTATGAGAAGTGACAAGCTTTTGGCTGATATTAGCGTTTCTGGTCCCATCTGTTGTGGCTTTTATCTCTTCACTTCATTCGTTTTTTCAGGGAAATGAATGAGTGAGACTGAGAGAGGTAAAGTAGATAACTGAACCAAATAAAAAAACACTTTAATGTTCCCACAGCATGAACTTGTGGTGGAGTTTCTTTCTCTGACATATATGGCTATTAAGTTCGCGGTAACTGCATATATACAATGAGGGAAAAAAGGAAGAAAGAAATGGTTGTTGTGGTTCCATGAAGAGATATTTACAGCAATTGAGCCTTTTTAAGTTCATATTATATAGTAGCTGCTGCGGCCTGCCACCATATATCCATTTTGCTGCAGTGCAAGTTGCAAAATCTTGTGGACGAGTCGTGTTTTTTTCCACATAGGGTAACAAAATCATGCTTTGATAGCGGGAAACTAATAGAGAGGTCTGGAGCAAATATTAAACGACGTGGGGATTTATGGATTTGAAGTGTCATATCCAGTGCCTCATTTTTTTTTACAAACAAAACAAAAGGAAAAGGGGGAGAGAATGGGTTGTTTTGTTGTTTAAAAAAAAAGGTTTTCTTTCAAGGGTATGTGGAGGTAGGTATGTTTCATGAAGGGGACCACCAAGTGTGTTAATGGAGATATGGCTGTATGGAGAAGCAGCAGCTGGAAGGAAGGAAGGGAACACCGATACACAATTACGTGCTCCATTTGCAACCTTTTATACCTTTTTTGCTAATTAACATGCCCGCTCTGTGAAGCCAAGTCTTTTTGTTTTCTCATTTTGCAGACTATACTTGACAGCTTCGAGAATCGGTTTTTACTTATTATCAGACTCCATCCGTCTGCTGCCGACGAGAGAAATGTGTCATGAAACGCAAAAACCCAACCGGACAAATGTTCGTCTCAAATTATTAATTAAAACCAAAAAAAAAAATGTGAACCCAACTTCGAATCTAGCATTTGTAATGGGGAAGTGGGGGTCCTAACCTGTAAAAATAGGAATCGACATGATGTTCTGAAATGACGAGGATGCTATTCGTTTTCTAGCATTTAACCACAAAAGAAGAAGAAAAAAACATTTCACTTTTATACCAACTAGTTGTTGAAGCGGAGTGGAGGCAGAATTTATATTGGCATATCAACAAGAGCTTTCGTACAATACCCCAAACGTATACAAATTTCATTCAAGCAAAGGATGTGCAACAGCCAACAGTGACATGACCTTTCAGTATCTGATGTTGAGATTTTTTATATATATACTTGTTGTCTAGAAACTCGAACAAATTCATAGATTCCCTCCCAAATTAAAAAAGTCGATGCTTGCTTGTTTAGTTTCAATAAGCCAAAAAAATCGAATTGATGCCTTAATTAGCAGTTGCTACACCTTCATCTGCCAATAAATTCAGCTTGACGAAACATGAATGAACAGAAACTCAAAAAGAAGAATGCAAAAGGTTTGATTTTCAGTTTTGTTCTGGACGAGGAAAAGTAATAAATATTCCAAAGTTTTATTAATACTGTTTCCAATGTTCCGTCCAAACGCCTCAGCTGCGTCAGTGATGAATAGATGGCACCAAAATCAATGCATTGAGGGGAAGTACAAATTTTAACGATATTACTTGTCATGTCATGTCATGTCATGTCAGGTCATGTCAGGGTGTTTTTAATATTTATCAGGTTGCATTGATAAAACACCAACTTGTTCCGATGTTCAGATGGCAAGCAAGCAACAACAATGGTGCCAAAATATATGGTAAAACTTAATAAAACAGAATAATCAAACAGAGAAGCGCATTTCTTAAAAATCAATTGAGGGCGTAAAATAACATGTCTCTATCAAAGATTTCCAATCAGCACAACTCACATACTGTTTGTTGGCCACAAAGCACAATCCACCTCCTTCATTCAACAAATTCCGGCACAAGACAATGCATGAGATTCCAATACATCATGACCGAACCAGAAATGGGCAATTATAATGTTTCATTTCACCCAATAAAAATTCTTTGTACAAAAAAAAGTTGATGTTCTCTAAAGAATAGATCCCAATCAGCAGTGCTAAGAGAAGTAGTAGTCCGGGACTAATTCTCGAATCACTCACTCCACGCTTTCACCAGCATTACGACCAGGTGGGCAGATTTTTCATCCCAAAATGTATTCCCCTCTTAATTTAGATCGACTTGTCTCACCCAGAATTCAATGAAAGCTACAATTTATCTTTCTTTTTATCAACACAAACTTCATTGAAAGCTACAAATATTAATTAACATTATAATTAAGTTGACATCATGATCAATATGCAAAATAATGCCCCGTCGGTATTTTATTTTCCATCATTTCCACTTTGAAGGGCAGCCTCAACGAATAATTCCGGCAACTTATTGTTCTAGAGACAATCTTGTTCTAAGTTTCTGGTTTTTAATCTGAAAAATCTAAAAGCTATAAACTTACTATTTGCAACGCAGTACACCAATAGCATTTCAAATGTTGAAAAAGAAATTATGTATTGGCAAACAAAACCTCAGATTGTAATTATTTTATCGATCAATAAAGTAACAGCAGCCTACATACAAATTCTTGATATCTGAACAGTTTAATATTTTTGATGGCATACAAAAAATAAGGTACAACAAAATACCTCATGGGAGGGCCCTGGTCTTCTGTGGAGTACTTCGAGGGATAGCCAAGATTGCCATCAGTCCACTCATGAGGGACGCAACACCAGCTACAGCAAAAGCAGGTGAGTTTCCACCCCCAAATAGTTGATCCCATGGTCCACTTCCAACAGACACCAGAACCTATTGGTAAGAACCCAAGTTTCACAATTTAAATTTGAAGATAATACAATAATTTCTATCAATGAGAACATTATATTATATATACCACATGAAGTTGGATTAATAGATCCACTCGTTTGCCCGGGTCTTGAGTGTTGTTTTTCCACATCTATTAGATATTTAATTACCTACAGTCTTAAATTCAAGTTGGACCCCTCCCTTTATTACCAATTGATTTTAGGTTGGATGCTTAACAAAACAATAAAGCTATGTTACACGAAAGGCTCAAATCCAGTCAACTTGACTTTTTAAAGGGGTTGTACTAATGAATGAGATGAACATTTCATAATACATAAGACAGCCTAATATTTTAATGACATCAAGAACAATGAATTGTTTACACCCCACATAAGAAATTTATAAGAGAAACTGAAAATCCAGTCCACTTCAATTTTCAAATGTGCATCAATCAATGAAATGATCATGTACCAATCAAGTTTGGTTTAGCTCCCATCTAGAAAAACACAGAGAAGGAGCAAGAAAGTAAATCTTAATAAAATGAGTTCAGGTGCAAAGCTATACCTGTGGAATAACAATAGCAAGATTTAGGACACCCATCGACAATCCTGTATGAAACAACACACCTTAATCTCTTATCCAAAAGCTAAGAAAAGAGCAACATATCATACAAAAATAAAAATATTGTCTACCTTGACCAAGTCCCAAAGACTCAATACGTGTGGATATCAAGGCATATGGAACACTGTAAGTAATCTGCAATCCAATACCAATAGCATCAGTTAAATACTAAAAGAAAATTAATTGAGACTTTGACAGAACAAAATTATCTTCAGACCCAGTCATTAGTTTGGACCTGTTTTAAGATGCAGCTGTCATGGTAACTGTATTGACCAGTAAATTACATTAAATAGGGGGTTAGGACAGCCACGAGTTGATGATGCTTTATGGTTTGAACCAAGAAGATCATTAAGTTGAGATTGATTAAACTGCAATTTTCTCAACGGCTATACAGGCATTGTGGAGAAAACAACTACAATCAAGATGCATTTATGATTGAAAAATTCAATTAAAACATCAAATGATATTCTGTAGGAAAAGAGAGAGCAGCTTACCGCCAACGGAAAGCCAAGAACGGAAAAAATCAGTAGCGCGGCAATCACAATGCCAGCTGGGGGTGGATCATGGCCAATATAATCCATATGGTTTGTCACAAATGATAGAATGAGCATTGAGAGAAAGCACAGGGCCATGAGAATGCTTGAAACACCCCAGATAAAACCAGCTCCTCTTTTGCTACAAAGCTTCTCCATAAGCACTGACGTAATTCCCAGAACAACGGAATTCAACATCAATCCAAATGAACCCATTCTGACCCCAGTAGCATAATTGGACCCTTCATTTGGCTCACCACCATAGATCTCTCGACCCATCCAGTCAGTGTCAAAGAGAAGAAAAGGGAACCATCCAATCCAATTCAGCGCAGTAACAGATAAGATTATCCATATAGTCCCTGAGAAATATTTAAATGTTCCAAATAATTCCCATAGAAAAGCTTCTTCAGCATTGCCACCTGAGTGTTCAGGTCCCTCTTCATTAAAGGTTGTAGATATCTCAACTGAACCTAGAGGCACTTCCTTAGCAGCTAAAACACTCACATATGTTGTAATTGAAATGAAAATAATGTCTAGATAGAAAGCAGACTTGAGATTTGCACAGTCAACATTGCAGGCAGCTGTCCGGGTAAATGGAAAAATCTTAAACCAACTACTGTAAGATCCTGTTGCATAGCCAAGAATATTGCCAATGGCCATGAATAGTGAGAAGTAAGCATTTGCCACTCGAGTTCTTCGATGATCCTTTTCTGACAAAAAAAAAACAGAAGATAATGTCAATTTTTGGTTGGTTTCATTGTTTCTATATTATACATTAAACAGTTGCAAACATGATTGTAAATTTAATTTGTTTGTGCTTACGATTGCAATAGCTAAATGTAAACACAGAAGTATCTTCACTTTCTTTGCAGTTAGAGTCGCATATCTTCAACATCAACTACCGTGTTTCTTTTATTTATTCTATATGATGGAACTCTACGTATTATTGTCATGAAATGTTATATGACAGGGATAAGTTCTAGAAAACTTGTCGACAGAGAAACTTGGCTCTATGCACATAAAATACATTCCAAGGAGTATCCCATTAGAAACTATAAACATGAAAACAATGACGGAAGTGAGATTTTATGTTAGGGGCGTCAAACTTATAAAATTCTAGGAGACGAAAACAAATTATCAATAGAAAATACAAAAAAAAACTAAAATATACTAAAATTTGAAATTTCAGGGACAACTGCCCACCCCGTCCCCTGGGTACATCACTGCATGAAGATATATTTCCTACAAGGCAATTTTGTCGAACAAGCTCGGAAGTTTATTTCCTTTTTTTTCTCATCGAGCTTTATTACTTTATCCATTCTTGAGGGGAATGAACTGATTATATAATATAGTTAAATGATCCGAACAAGCTCCATTGACAAATCCCCAAATCGGTAACAGTCCAATACTTAAGAATTAAGATAGCATTGCATTTGCAAACAAACCCAACTCAATTAAATCAATCAAATAGGCAACTATCCGTACATAAAAAAATTAAAACAGAAAAATTACCTTCATATATATCAGAAAACGAAAGGGCACAACCATCCACCGAAGTTTTGTTCTGAAGGGCTAAATTTCGAGGAAAAAAAATTAAAGGAAACGAAACTAACCAGTTAGGTCAGCAAGAAGAGCTCTACAAGGACCTTGAGTTACGTTATTAGCAACATCAAGAATCCAAAACCCGAAAACAAACGCCACGATAGCTCTCGGCCGAGAAGCGTCGGTATCGCCGAACAACCATCCGATATCGGCGGAGTGACCGATGATCAAAACGGCGACGATAATAGAAACAGCACCTGCCACGATAAAAGGTCGGCGACGACCAAACCGGCTGTTGCATCGGTCGCTCATGTGACCGACCAGAGGTTGTACCACAAGGCCCGAAAGCGGACCGCAAAGCCATATGATGCTGGCCCACTGGTGAGGTATGCCTAGCTCTTGAACGTAAGGTGTCAAGAGCGAGAGCTGTAAAGCCCACCCGAACTGTATCCCGCACGCCACGGAAGCGACTCGGAACAGTTGCCGGAGCCGAATTCTAGCTCGTACCGGCGGTCTACCTCCAGCTCGATGGCGGTTTACCTCGGGGGTGGCCATCCCTTTCCTTTGAGTTTCAGGATTTTTTCCCCTTATTCCTTTTTCTCTCTATAATCGCTACTGTTTCTCTCTCTAAAACCGGATTTTCGGGTTCTATGATCGTTGAACTTATGAGATTCCGCTTACACAGAAGTGGCGGTTCCAGCTGCCAGAGTGGACAGTAAACAGGCAGTTTAGTGTGACAAGAGAAAGAAGAAGAAATGAAATGACCTTGGCATGGAAGAAAATTACTAACAAAGCCACCCACTATTAAAAAGGTAGAAGATTGACTGAAATGGGAATTTGTTGTCAAAGTTCGAGGGCAAAATTCGGATCACACTTTTTTTTCGGTGCTTTGGACAGTATCCGTAACAAAAACTCGGTTGCTAAGATTTTTCTTTGGTTTTTCTCTTATACTAAGATATCCGTTTCGAAATTCCAGGACGCATCTACAAATGACGAAACTAGCCTTTAGAAAATACAAAACCAGATGGTTATTTTGGGGAAATCATAAACAAATATCAATGATTAAAGATTAGCTTCTTAGCTTTTGGGGTTGTTAAAAGGAGCATGTGACTAATTGCCAATCATACCCAATGGATCGCTTCAATTTATTCCGATTTGTATTGTCAGTTTATTAGTTCTCTATAATTGTTTTATTATATTTTCTTCTCTAGTCTCTCTCTTGATATCTACTATTAATATTGAGAATAATAGCTTCTGGTTTACATTGTTTTTTAAATAATTAATTTATAATATTAAAAATAAATATATTTTCTCCCAATCAAGGTCCAGAGTTCAAATCGTGGCATTCGTGAAATTAGAAAGTTAGATTAAGAGAGTCGCTTTCATTTTTTCAGTATTCGATCTGAATTAATTGATCAATAGATCGAAAATCAATGCTTATACAATAAATATATATATATTTGATATCTATTTTTTATTTAATGACAAAATTGGTAACTTTACCTCTGTGGTAGATTTAATTTATTACTTTTATTCATATTGTATTTTCGCATTAATTTAGTCTTCAAAATTTCTCAATTGTATCATTCTATATCCTACTCCTAACTTAAAACCCTAAATCATAAACCCTAAACTATAACCTCAAAACTTTTAAACCTTAAATCATGACTTAAGGTTTATAATTTAGGATTTTAAGCTAGGGGTAAGGTATGGTATGACACAATTAAATAATTTTGAGGGCTAAATTTATACAAAAATACGATAGGGCGAAAATGTTAAATTTGGTCTACTACATGGACGAAGGTGACCCTTTTAATTATACATTTAAGTTCAATTTTTAGATTCAGATTAGTATCTAAATATAATTTAATGGTTTAAATGTGTTTAAATAAATTATTTATTATTTATTTATATAGAAAATAAAAACGAATACAAAATTTGAATCATTAAAATAAATTTAGATATTTAATTAAAAATAAATTCAAATCATTCATTAACACTAAATTCAAGTATTGAAATAGACTTTTTACCTATATATTAAAGCTTTTTATTTTGGGTTGCTTTCGTGCCTGGTTGCTCTTCCTTTCGTCTTCTATACTTGCCTTAGTCCATTAAGTCACTAATTTGGTTTTCAACTCACCCATAATACCTTTTTTTTTAATAACCATCGGTATTTAATCTATTGTTCGATTAATTATAACAAGGTAATGTAGAGATAAGGGTTGTAATGCCGCGATTTTCGTATTAGAAGTTTTGGGCTAACCCGAGAGAAGATTTAATAAACTCAATAAGCTTGCGAGAAGCCTTTACCCAAAGGGCTTGGTTAGAGCCCACCGTGGCTTAAAAAGGGTATTTTTGTGTTGGGGGTTAAACTAGGAAGGATCAAATCAGCAATTTAACCCTTTGTCTTCATCCTTTGTCTTCTTCTCACCATTCAAACTTCTTCATTTCTCCTTCTTGTGGCCATGCAAAGGTGGAGACTTGTAAATCTTCGTACCTATTCCGGGTTAGTGTATGTAAGTTTATGGGTCACATTGGATGTAAAATAAGTTCATGGGTCACATTAATTTTTTTTATCAAAAGTTCATGAGTCTCATATATGATTAAGCGAACTAAATCTAAAAATTCATAAAAATATATTTTTATAGAGATTAATTTGTTCGAGTTCAAAATTGAAAGGACTAAAAATATATTTAAATTTATTAATATTAATTTTATCATTTGAAATTAAGTCTAAACTGCTGATTTTTATAGTAGAGAGATAAAAATAATAATTTTTTAGATATAATATAAATATTAAAACATTTTTTATAATTAAAAAGATAAAGTAAACTTATAAATTTAGTCCGCTGACCTCTAAAAACTTGAGTCTTCTTCCTCTAATATTTGGACCATCAAATGTTCAAACTCCAAGGTCCAGGCAGTGCAGGAAGTAATTACCAAGTCACAAATTCAGCCAGTGTTTAAATTCCTATATGTTTTTTTGAATGTCCCTCTTTTAAATCTAACAAATAATTAAGAATCAGAAACACTTGAATTACTCGATCTCATCTATCTTGTGTTGCAAAGTAGGTTAATTCATGGATTTTATAAAAAGTGAGGCTTTGTTAATTTTCAAACTATTTCACAAAATATTACATAAGAAAGAGAGGCAAAGAAATTGACAGACTAAAACGGCGAGTCTCACCAGAAAGGGAACAATGATGAAGTTGAAAATGGCTTTTCACCGGCCTTTTCTTTAAACCCTACAATAATGGGTTTTTCTTTTAAAACAAGGGTAAAGTATAATAATGGTCACTAAACTTTTCTAAAGCTTTCCTCTAGGTCCTCTAACTTTTAAAACTTGCAATACAGTCCCTCAATATTTAGTCCGTTTGCAATATGGTCAGCCAACAGTTAAATTGGGGACCATATTGCAAACGGACTTAATGTTGGGGGACCATATTGTAAACGGACTAAATGTTGGGGACTATATTGCAAGTTTTAAAAATTAAGGAACCTAAATGAAAGTTTTAGAAAAGTTCAATGACCATTACTATACTTTACCCTTAAATTAATTATTATTTTTATAGTTTACTTATAATTCAATTAAAATTAAATTTTAATAAATGATTAATTTTAAATAATCATTATATTTTTTAATATTTACATAATAAGGATAATTTTTTTAATGGAGTGTTTTAATGTGTCATTTTAGTGGTGTGTTGAGATCTGCGACGTGTATGGTAAATTTTTTCTTTTTGTTGGTATCTTAAAAAAAATCATCTTTTGCTGGTTCAAATGCACGCAGGAAAGTTACAAAATTCTACGAATTTTGAGATTGCAATGGCAAATCCTGATTTCGTTGTTCATAACAACATCAAACGCTTCCATGATAATCACGATGACCCTCATAATGATGAGGTTTCATTTCTTTTCATGATTTGCTATATGAGTTTCTCAGGTTTGTAATCGATAACGTGGATTTTTTTCCCCAAAAGCCTGGATGGATTGTCATTTGTACGCCCTTTGTTTCCTTTTCATTAGCTTATCTTGATCCTGACAACTTTAAGCCATTAGCCATTGTCACTCCCTTTCCTTACATATTAATCTTTTTGGTAATTTATCTGATTGATGTCATATCACACAATGGAAACTGATTTACAAGCAGGAGCCAACCATGGATTTGAGGTAATATGTTGAAGAGTAAGCCTTTGTAATATTCATAAACGTATTATAAAGGCTTACTCTTCAACATGTTACATGAATATTATAAAACCTTACTCTTCAACATATTACCTCAAATCCATGGTTGGCTCCAGCTTGTAAATCAGTTTCCGTTGTGTGATATGACATCAATCAGATAAGTTTCAAAAAAAATTATTAGATGTCTCTAATGAAACAAAGAAATTAAGGCCTACGAACAACAAAAACTTTCTCCATCCAGCTTTCTGAAAAGCATGCCATCAGTTACAAACTAAATATATGAGCAGGTTATATATAAAATCCTGGAAAAAAAAAAGAAACCTATCATTTGGGTCATCCTGATTATCATGGGAGCGGTTGCTGCTGCTAGCTTGGGTGGGGTTGAAGATGCAAAGGCTTGATGTTTTATTGAGAAGGAAGCACGGTTTAAATACAAGTAATAATAAATTCTCAGGAATTTCTTCTACATTGTTGCTGCTGCTGCAAACTTCTCATCTCTCACTCTCTTTAACTTTACTCAATTTTTCAATGCATAATCTTTCTGCCTATCTAACTTGTTAATAGCTATGCGGTTGCTTGATATGGGGAACTATAGAAGTCACCCAAAACAGATACTAAAATTAGTGCACAATCTTTCTCAATCTACCTAGCTGACAGCTAACAACATATATTTATTTTCCCCTAAAATATGGGAACTTTATAAACCCACCCCAAAACAAATACTAAAATTAATGCATAATCTTTCTCAATCTGCCTAACGAACCTGTAAATTTGTATATTTATTTATTTACATGTACAGTAATCAAATTAAAATTATATATATATATATATATATATATATATATATAAAGTTACAACAATATTCATAAGCACACTCAAATTTAATAATTCAACCAAATTTATAAGTTGAAATAGAAATCAATATTTCACACATATGGTCAGCTTTCATGAATACATTCCTACTCACTATTTTTGGTCATGTCTCAATATAAAGTTATATATATAAGTACACATATATTGATACTTCTAACCACGTTAGAGTAGACCACATCTATATTTTTTTTCTTTTCTAAAGAAAATATATTTGTTATTTGCTTTATTCAAAATATTGAATTATTATTTGTTATAATATTAAAAATATTAATATTTGCATATCCCATGTCCAGTGGCCAGCTTCAGCTTGGATGGTTTGAGCTTACTTTAACGGATAGGTAGCCAACTATTGGAATATATAATTAATGCATGTAATAAAAATATCAATTTCATTTTGTATCAATAAAATTTCAAATAAAATAAAATTAAAGTTAAAAAATAAATCTACTCACATGTATTCATATAATATAATATATAGGGTAAAGTATAGTAATGGTCATTGAACTTTTCTAAAGCTTTCATTTAGGTCCCCCAACTTTTAAAACAATACATCCCCAATATTTAGTCCGTTTGCAATATGGTCCCCCAACAGTTACATCGGGACCATATTGCAAATGGACTAAATATTGAGGGACCATATTGCTAACAGACTAAATGTTAGGGGATTATATTATAAGTTTTAAAAGTTTTGGGGCCTAAATGAAAGATTTGAAAAAGTTCAGTGACCATTACTATACTT